GACCGAAAATGTTTTAAATTGCAGATAGTGATCAATGGTCGGAATACGTACACGATAAATGGAATTGCGGCAACAAACAGTCGTGTTGCGGATATGTTCCGAACGGTCGGACTAAATGTGAACAATCCACATTTTCTGATAATGCAAGGCCGCATCACTAAAGTGCTCAACATGAAACCAATGGAGGTGAGATCATCATATTTTTGCTGACTCATTTAATTTACTGACGAAGATGTAAAAGAGATATTATGACATATATAAAAGTATAGATTTTATCAGGAAACTTAGATGAGCTAGAATGTTTCGGTCCATTAAGTCGTATACATTTCTATGCAGCAGTGCAACTTTATCTCGTCAGTACGGCAGTTATGGTGTTCAAAAAATTTTAAAGAAAAATTTTTCTACGAAGATGGCTTATAATTTTAAGAGGTAAAAGAGGGATAAATTTTAAAAATAATAAAAAGAGAGAGCAAGAAATATGTCGTGGCCGGATGGCACATAAGAATTTTGAAAACTGCTGGGTTATTGATACTGGTGCAACTTTTATAAAAAAAAAGTTTTTAAAATTTAATTGTTTTATAAGTCGCAGTAAAAATTTTATAAATTTAAATATATTTAAGTGAAAATAAAAGTTTTTAAAGTTTGTTTATTTGTAAATCGCAATAAAAATTTTTTAAATTCAAAAATATTTTGAATAAAAATACAAATTTTATATGTATCATAAGATTGATGAAAAAAGGCATGAAGAGTTTGTCCATTACAATTGTTTTCAATCCGTTTTGTTCGTCCCTATCTATGCTATCAGTGTGTGTACTACGTGTGTCTGTGTGGTTGTGTATGTACACGAATATATCCGTGTATATATACGTATTCCTAGTGTATTTTATACGTTGTTTGTTCAGATTCTTGGGATGATTGAAGAGGCAGCAGGTACGCGAATGTATGAAGCAAAAAAGCAGAGTGCTGTGCGTACAATCGAGAAGAAAGAAGGAAAAATGGCCGAGATTAAACAGGTAAGACGAGAAAATGGCCGAGATTCAGTGCTCCGTGCTTTTGATGATATACCAAATCCGTCAAATTAGAGCTATAATTTTGCCTAAATGCACCCCTGATCCCGGCGTAATTTCGGCTGACCCTTTTATACTAGGGCACTTTATTTTTTAGAAATATCTTTTATAGTTACTGCACACTGATGTGAGGGAATTTTTTGAACTCTTTCTGAACTGGTAAACGCAACTTACATTGCTTAAAATTCTCGTCTTGATCCGCTCCTTCCCTCAATTGCCGTAGTAATAGAAGGTCCCGAGATATACGGATGGTATATCTCTTTTGCCGTCGCCCGAGCAGTGAGGAATTTTAGCACGCTACTGCTGGTTTTTTAAAAATTTCCTAAAAAAACGTCATGACTGAAATTTACAGCTGATGGAAGAAGATATCCTTCCGCAAGTGGAAAAGTTGAAGCGTGATCGCAGTAATTTCCTTGAATATCAAAAGATTGGTCGTGAACTGGAAGCTTTGCAAAGGAAACTGATTGCTTTTGATTTTATGAGCTCACAGGTATTATTGATTCATTGCGTCCACGTATTTTATGAGCTTTTCGAGCACAAAATTTTATTTAAGGGGAACTTTGATAGGTATTTGAAAAACTACGCATCAAAATTAGAAAAATCAGGGCCTCCTCCGTATTTTTTTATCTGTCTGGGAAGTTGAAATGGTCTAAACTGTCAGTAATAGAAGCTATTAAAACCCTTAGTCAGTGCCATCAGTGCAAATTCACAGCTAAAATTAATGAGCAAATTGTAGAGGGATTAATTTTTCCTTTGGGTCGGCGAAGGGGTCCCCAACCGTTTTTCCTCCTAATCGGTATTTTGAGACAGCTGATGATGGGTAGGACTCAGTGGCACGTAATAGTTGCAAATTTAAAGCTAAAATCAATGAATGAGCTGTAGAGAGGCCAACTTTCCCTTTGGATAAATGAAATGTTTTTCCGTTTTTTCGACTGCTTTTTACTTTGATCAGCTGTTGTTTCATCATAGCACGCTTATAGAGGGATTAATTTTTTCTGTTCACAGTTTAGGGATGAAACACAGACAGGACAACAGCTAATGCACATACTGGCTCGCTTATCTGGGTATCTGAATTAGCACTCACTGCTTTCCCACAACTGACAATATTCAACTGT